ACCAAAATTTATAATAATACAAAATTTCAAAAAAAAAATCTAAAAAAATATATTTTTTTAAAACAACAATTTATAGTGAAGATAGAAATTAGATTATACTTGCAATTTTGAATTTCAAAAATTAAATTAAATTTACAATTCACTAGTTAATGTTGGGATAGCCAATGCAAAAGTAAAATATTCTACGAAGAATAAGTGTAATATATCTGTCGTTTATGTATTTTATTCTAAATTATTGAAATTTATTCGATATAATTTAAACTATATTTGTTGACCAACACTTTAAAAACTGGGACAATTGCAAAAATACTACTTTTGGTGTGTACATTTGTAAAAATGCCACTTAGGAGTGTCCATTTGCAAAAATGCCACTAATTATGAATTTTTAAAGCCTTTATCTTAAAGTTATAAACCCTAAAAAATATTTTGATCCCTAAACCCCCTTAAACCCTCAAAACTAAACCCTAATACAGCATAGTTAACCCAAACAAAAATGATATAATGAAAAAAAATAATTTTGAAAAAGTGGCATGTTTGCAAAGATTTTGAAAATGTTTCATTTTTGAAAAGTGGCATTTCTTAAAATTTCTCTTAAAAATTTGTGTTTATTCTTTTCTAACAAATTCAATGGTTTCAAAATATATAATTTTGGAACACTATATACATTACATTTTCAATTACCTTCTTGAGATTAATAAATTTTGTATTTTAAAAAATTTTGGGATTCTACAAATTTAAATTTTCTATAAAAATCAATGTATATTTTTTCTTATATTTTTGAAAATTTATGAATTTTTTTTCGATTTATTAAGTTTTGTATGTTCTTAATTTTTTGGATTTTTATTAAAAAAAAACTGGTTTTTATGAAAATAATTATAAATTGACCCCCAAATTAATAAAAATTAATCAAAATACATCAATTTGTAGTTTTTAACATGTTTACATATATTTGGTGTACAGAGCCGGTCCTGGCCTTTTAAAGGCCGGAAGCATTTTTTTGTTGGCACCTTAACTAAAAAACAAAAAAACACCACATAGCAACTTGACAGACACGAACCCATGACCTCTCAACTATATGCAACGCTGCTTGACCAACAGAGCTACTGAAGATTTTGTCAAAATATTTGGCCTCTAAAATTAATAAATACTACGCCGGCCCCAAGCAGATGCTTCACCAGCTTCTAGTCAGGGCCGGCTCTGTTGGTGTATGTCATCATATATTATATAATAGTCTATGTAGTTTAGAAACATTTCTATATTTGGGATGGTTTGCAACATATTAACCAATACTTGGTGTAGTTAAAAATAATTTTTCCTTAAATAAATCATAAAATCAATTGTTTTAAAATATCTCGGTATTACTCATTTTCAAGTGCTTTTGAATTCTATACCTAATCTACCTACGTCATGGTCGCAAATATTAAAATGCTCATTTTCTCAAAAAGAGAAAAAAAAAATGCTCATTAGTCCTTACCAACAATATCGACGATATATAAAAGTATTAAAAGCACAGTTAACAAATAACATCAACATACAAACTCATATGATAATTGGTAACCTTAATTTTATTCATGATCTAGAATTATGAATCCATCATAAGATATTACAAATGTTGTACATATCTAATACAATATTTTTTTTAAAAATACATATTATAAAACAATGTATTAAATGAAGCTATAAATTACTAAAGTCTCTATTTAAGCTTTAGGCTCATCGTTCTTGATGGCATGACCAATACCAGGGCTATGTCCTGGTGTCGTGGGCTTGAAGTCATCTCCTTTCTTATGCCCCATCCCGGGACTGTTCCCTGGAGAAGTAGGCGCGAAATCGTCTGTAGAACCCGCGGTTATGAAATGATCTTGTTCGTTTGTTTTTTGTAATCGTCTTTCTTCTGTGGGCTCGAAATCATTCTTAAGGCCTTTAACATTCGCGTTCCCTTTCTTGTGCCCTATCCCAGGACTGTTTCCGGGAGAAGTAGGTGCGAAATCGTCCGTAGAACCGGTAGTTTTGAAATGATTTTGACCGTTCATTTTCTGCGGCATTCTTCCTTCCGTGTGCTTGAAGTCATCTTTAAACCCTTCAGCATTTGCAACTCCGTTCTTATGCCCGATACCGGGACTGTTACCTGGAGAAGTAGGTGCGAAATCGTCTGTAGTTCCGGTTTTGAAGTGTTCTTGACCGTTTGTTTTCTGTAACCTTCTTCCTTCCGTGGGCTTGAAGTCATCTTGAAACCCTTGAACATTCACATTACCTTTTTTATTTCCCATACCAGGACTGTTTCCTGGAGAAGTAGGCGCAAAATCATTTGTAGATCCAGCTTTGAAATGATCTTGACCATCTGCTTTCCTCAAGTGTCTTGCTTCAATGGTGATCGGTGTTTGATCCAATGCCATAAAGATGACGATAGAGGTGACGGTGATAGTCATGAATAGGTTCATGTTTTTTTTGTTGGGAGCTAAAATTAAGATTTAGGAGTTTTTGTATATATGCGGAGTTGTGCTTGAATATGGAGTAAGAATGCCCCAAAGATATTGTATTTATAGTGCCATGGATTGCTTATGTTGCCGTTCATTGAATTTAAAGTGTGTGAACTGCAGTGGCCACATTGATTTATTTTGGTCCGTCTATCTATCACATTAATTAAGAATATTGATTATACTACAAAGTATTGTATAATTAATTATATCAAGATCTCTCAATTTTTTTCTTTTCTGAAGGCTCTAAAATGAAATAACGTACGTTCGAATACATTTAGTCACCAAATTTTCATTTTTCGATGAAATAAGTTTTTTTTTTCACATATTTAGTTTCTAGTTAAATAAAAAAGTTCAAGGAGATGAGA